ATGGCTCATTTCTTCTAAAAGGTCTTTAGCTCCTTGGAATGATTCATTTTCTCCTCCTTAAGCTCCATCTCAGCTGCTAGGGCACTTGAAGGCGAGGACTCCAACATAAGTTCTATCTCATGAGAGTCCTTCTTCTCCTCTTCAAGTAAGCCCTTAAGATCAGCCACTCGACTAATTAGGGACACAAAAGCACTATGCAAGTCCATCTCATCCACAAAGAAGAGATTTGGTCAAAGCATTGGCGTAGCCTAGACAACTCCCAGTCGTAACCATTATTTTTTTACTCGGCGAGTTCGTACAAGCATTCAAAGACTTAACCTCTCAAAAAAGGGTTTCATGGAGCATTAGATCCTCATGACCAGCTGCGAACATAGTCATAGTGGAATCCATTCACAATAACTAATAAGTTGGCTCTGCTAATAAGCCCGGTCTTCCTATTTCAAAGAGTTTGCGCACATGAACATGGTCTTCAACAGACATATAATTTTTCATCTCTAGCACGACTTAGGGCACTGACCAGCCAGCACTGTGGGCAACAGAAGATGATGATTGTCAATATTTTTTGACAAGTGAGTAGCAGGATACCAAGTCTTCCTCAACTTTTTAGCGGGACTCTCTTAGGAAAGCACCTTACCATGGTCCTTTTTGGCTCTGGAAAAAGTAGGTTTATCATGGTTCTTCTTGATCCTACATTAAGAGGGAGGTTAAGTAAGTATGTGGGATCTCTCCACACGAGGAGGAATCTCCAACCGCTCTCTTCCCCCTCTTGATCCCATTTGAAAGAAAAGGAAAGTTGACAAAATAAATGCGACACAAATCAACAAACAATCAAGTATAATGGGAAAATATCAAATATAAAAGAGATTCTTTCTCTCTTTAAGAAATGTCGCGTCAGCAATGTCGCGACATTATATCTGATTGGCAGAAAACAAAAGCATGACTGCCTTCATAGTTTTCTATGCATCATAAAAAGAGTCGCGCATAACTTAATATGAGCCAACTGCCTCTGCAAAATGGTTTGGGGACTAGAACCGTCTAACGCAGTCGGTACACCTGGTTGGTCCCATAAAGGGGGTGGAACAAAACAAAAATTGGCATGAGCGATAGAGAGATGGGGGGTAGTCAAGAAGTAGTCAGCCTTGAAATTCTTTCAATTCTCTGTGTAAACCTGGAATATCATATCATCATCATGACAAAATGAAACTAAGCCATGACCAGGTCCTTTCCTTTAAGGAGGTTTGACATGAATAGGATGGAAGAATAAGATCTTTGAGGTTGAACCCATGTCCCCTGGTACTCATACCAGTATTATAACACCCTCACAAAATCCTAGACGGTCAAATGAAGTTACAAGGGAGGGAACAATGTGAATATGGTCTAGTACCTCATTCTCAAAATTAGTCAATGGAAGTTAAGAACCTAACTTCCAGAAGATACATTCATAAAAAGTGATAGAGAAACTATCGAACTTGTTGCATATCCTCTTGTCAGTAAGAATGGCGGAGATTGACCAATTTAAAGATGATCCCACTTTGAAGGGGACTTCCCTCACAACAGCCTCCCAAATATAAGGGGAAACTATCCCTAGGTATGCAAGGTCAACCGAGGAATAATCATCAGCATTTGTTGCCGCTATAAACTATTTTGGTCGGATAATTTCCTCATATGTATCACAAAATAAACCAGTTTGATCTACAACAAATTGAGCCTCAATGAGAAGGGTTTGTATCAAGAGACTTAATAGAGCAACTCATCTCTCGCACCCTTATCTTAGACAGAACAAGACCCATGTGAATTTGACGCGATCTAAAGAAACATCTCGAAGAGTAGTTTCCCTCACCAACGAATTTCCTTCATCGCCAAAAGAGTCCAACCCCGACATACAATTACCGTGAGACATATTCGAGGTAGGGACAAGGGAGTTCCATGTGTATAAAAGGTCTACGACTTCTAAATTTTCCACTTCCACAGACAACGAAAACTCCTGGTTAATAAACTCACGAGCATTGTTTGCACGGAAAATCCCCTAGCTTAACCATAACAACACACATGTAAAGATAATGACGCACCTTTGAAAGGGAAGAAGAGAGAAAACAGTCCACAAGTAAGGAAACGGTAGAGAAAGTTTGAAATGTCGGAACAAGAGAACTGATGAACAAACTTAGAAATAAGGAGTGAGTGTTGAGTAACAAGTGAAGCAAAAAGAGACGTTTGGAGCAAAAACCTGCCTTTTATAGGAAAATCAATTGCAAATCGACCGTCCAAATTGAAAGCTGGAGAAGATCTAAAGGTGGCAAAGCAATCATCATACTAAGGGCATTAAAAGATCGAAAGTACTTGAGTACCCTAAAAAGAGCAATCATGCCCTAACCTGTACCTAGGGATGGTAAAATAATCCCTACCCGCGGATAAAATCCATCACGGATATGGGACAAATATTTTAATGAATATCCACAAATAAAATAAATGAATATTTAAATACCCGTTTATTAATAGATATGGATACGAGTTTAATGATATTCGTGCCTGCGGATATCCATATTCGTTAATAAATTAATGATTTAAATACTATTAATTTATTATACTTATCTTTTTATCTTCTAAAAAAATTAATCTTCTTTATATATATATATATATATATATATATATATATATATATATATATATATATATATATATATATATATATATATATATATATATATATATATGAGTGAGGATCAACTTAATTCAAGAGTAAGTTTTATTAACTTACTCTCCATCATAGCCTTTAAATTGAATATAATCTAGTGGTTAAATTAATATTTTTACTTATAACCATTCAATTAAATCTAATTTAAAGGTTATGATTGTAGAGTAAGTTATAAAAACTTAATCTTAGAGTAAGTGGATCCTCAATATATATATATATATATATATATATATATATATATATATATATATATATATATATATATATATATATATATATATATATATATATATATATATATATATATATATATATATATATATATATATATATATATATATATATATATATATATATATATATATATATATATATATATATATATATATATATATATATATATATATATATATATATATATATATATATATATATATATATATATATTTGAAATTTTCTTTGAAGAAAATATTTAACATTTCATTCAAATTTGATTAGACATTTCATATTTAAACTCTTCATTACTTCATATCTCACTTCAATAATTTTATAGTCTAACCAACTAGTGTCGTCGTTCCTCTGTCAAACCAGTGTCTCCCTTTCTACTCCTCTATCATCCGCTCATCCATCATAACTCAAAATTACAATATCTTTTATTTAAATGGTTAAAAATGAAATGTATGGATATTATGTTTAGATCTAATTATGTTTTGGTGAATAAAAAGAAAATTAATGCGATGAAATTGTATTATTCAATTAAGACTACATTTTATTATTGTGTGGAAAACTAAAACTAACTATCTCTATTTATATTAATACTCAAATTCTATTTTTTTTCTACTACTCAGTGTGAGATTTGGATGAATATATTATTTGACCCAACAGGATATCCATTTATATCCCTACTTGTACGCATTGAAGCCATGCGCTCAAACAGTATAGTGGAATGTTTCAATAATGGAAAGACATTTAATGCACCTGTTTCCCACTACTTTTACAACTGATCCCGAGCGTTTTCACTTCTATCTTTGAGTGAACATCATTTCTGGTGGCCGACCGCGACTTTGAAAACTTTTCTAGCTAATCCTCACCTGATAAGGCTTGAGGTCAACTATTTTGAACCAGTCAAAGGCCCAAAAAGTCAAGGCTCAATCAATACAAATCGATTTAAAACGATATGACGTATAAAAGTTAAGACAAATGAAATTAAAAGTACACTTTATAACATTTATTTTTTACTATACTTATTTTAAATTTTGTATTGATTTTAGTGTTGAAATGTTAATCTTACAAATTCATCTCAAATCGTCGTATCAGATATTAGCACCACATATTCAGGAATTTTCACCATCATAGACATAAATTCTGATTTTAAAACATAATAGTTTGTTCGTAGTTACCTTAATTAGTTTTAATTGGTTGACATTTTCTTAGAGATTAAGTGTATATATAACATTTGTCATTGTTTTTCTTTATTTAGTTAATTTTAAAGCATTCTTCCTCCTTTTTCTCTTTTTCACCTTTTTATCCTCTCTTTAAATTTTGCATGTAATTCCGCAAACACATCCATATTTATACCTATTAAAAATATCATCTTATACTATACCCATCCATGACCAATAATTCTTTAGGATAACCCTCCATTCTCCATTTCAAAACGAACCACAAAATATAATTCACAAAACAAGAATAAGAGGGAACATGTGATATAAAGTAGTGGAACCCTCAATTGAAGGCCGTAACAGCACTCACATGGTACGGGTCCACCATGTTCATGAATCTAAAGGCAATAACACCTCAACCAATCAGATCCATGACAGCCTGACAGACAAGTGCACATTGTACATAAAGAATCTTGCATATCATTCACAAAACTCTATACACAATAAATACGATACGTATACGGTATGCATACACATACATTATAAATACAATATAAAAATCGTAGGGGACAAGGCAATAATGATAGCTGGAAAATTGACATTTATTATAAGTCATGCACACGCTGGCAATAGACAAGTCACATTTTTTTTCCTTAGAAAACAAAAAGTGGGTCATATAAACATCTTATATATTATTTCTTGTCCCTAACGAATTTCCACCTAATTTCTCATTCATATATAATACACATATAAGAGAAAAAAAATACAAAAGAAATAGCACAGACACATAATATAATATAATAATAATTGAACTCTTATTATTCCTATATTAGCCTCGATCTTACTCGAGCCCAATTTGCTTCCTTGGAACACCAATCCATGATCAACAACAAGAGGATTTTTGTCGGAACATGATAACGAGGTTTTCAGCTTCTGTTCTTGCACTTTTCCACTGCCCTTGGTGCTGTAATTTACAAATTAACCATAATATTTAATATAAGATGTTCTTACTTGTATAATTATAAACTTAATTTGTTAAAAATGTACTTTGAGTAATAATTTTACCTAGTCCAATTGCCTCAGAACCTTTCATTATGCGAAGACGCTTGCACGAGTGAACAAACATTCTGAAATTTGTGTAGATGAACATTAAATTAGTATATGATCTTTACGATATTAAAATAGATTAATTATTCAATGAATCTGAACGTAAAATTTGTAAATGAAGTGAAAAAAAAGTTGAAAACTTACTCCCAAGGAACATCGCCGACAAGCATCCAATCACCATCTTTGTCTTCGTATGTTGGCACATAATCAGAGCCGTTCAAGAGGTCAATCAATTTGCTTTCATTCATAAAGTCTTTGGTAACTTGGGACCCACAGTTGTCAATTGTGAAAGAACTAAACATTTTAGCCAGCGCATCTGACAGCTCTTGGTAGCTCTTGTACAAGTTAAGGTCTACCTTACGTAAATAAGGTGCACCATCCATGCTCACCTTAACAAATGCTCCATTTCCAACATTTGTGTTCTTTTCTTGTTCTGATTCATTGTTGCTCTTTTGAACATTCACTATGTTCTTTCTGAAGGATCTAACTGGTGGCCATCCCACAACTTGTGCTCTGCAAATTCAAAAATTTCATGATAATTAATTTTTAATTAAATTATTAGAGAGAGAGACGCACACAAAGGACATGGGCGTGTGTATGTGTGGACTATCATTTTCAACTTTTTTTATCCTTTTTGAGGGAATTCATAATTTGAGTGGATAGAAAAAGTAAAGATTCCATGTGTCTTGTCTTTTTCCTTTGTCTACCCGACAACCAACCATGTCATCCGCAGAAGAAATCCAACTAAAATAATACTGCTTGCCAACCTATTCAGCCACCATTCATTATTTTATTTATTTATTTATTTATTTATTTTCTCACACATAATTTAGATAATATTTTTCAGATTTTCTTTTCTCCACCATTTCCTGATTCATTTCTACTATACTGTCTACCTTTAATTCTTTGAAAAATAATCTTGATTTTATTCAAAAATTTTTTTACTATAATATTAAAATTAGAACAAGACTAAAATCAAATAAATTGATTATTCAATGAATTAAAAAAATATATTTTTTCTTATAAATAAAATTTGAAGGAACACCTTATAATCACTATTATAAACGAGAAAGTTCATTAATAATTTCACGTTAATAATTTTATTTGAAAACAACACAATTTAAATATACATAGTGACTGAAACAGTTTCTAATTGTTCAAATTTTCTAAGAATATGTTCAAAAGTAATCACAGTGAGCATATATGATATACAAACAAAGTTCAAATCCTTGTTCAGCTTTATTTTTTGGTATAAATTCCATGTTCAACTTTACTCCACTCAAATTGCGAATATTTTTTCACAATCAAATTCGAACAATACCTTTAGAACACGGAACAAAACCACTAAATTTGTCCTATATCAAAAAATTTAAATCAAGTTGTAACCGAAAATTCAGCCGAAAATTAAGCAATAAGAAATATAATCGCAAGATGCAACCCTAACCTTTAATCACAAACAACCTTCTAAACTAATTCAAACTTCTTTCATAAGCAACCTAATTAAAACTTGTTAATTCATCTATCTATCGATCTAATATTTTCAACTAATTACTTCAATTCAATAGATCTATGAACAAATTAAAACAATAAAACCTAAATTATCATTAAAAAGTTTTGAGTATGATATAATAGAAATACTCACTTGGCGCGGGGAGGTGCAGTAACTGATGTTGAAGTTTTCTCTTTCCCTTTGTTTGCAGTAACAGAAGCTACAGTTGAAGAAGATGAAACAGAGTCATTAGTAGGAGAAAGATTAAGCTTCAAATCCATATTAGCAGTTTCTGCGAAACCTCTCTTTCCGCAACTGCTTTTCACCGTTGGCTCGCCGTGATCATTCACTGAGCCACCGGGGAGTCCGAGCCGCAACTCGGTCTCTTCGAAGTTTATCATGCTGTATTTGTCACGCTCAGCGTCTGCTACGCTAGTCATTTTCTCTTAACTCGCTAGTGAGAAAAAAACAAACTCACGAATGTTCTTTTTGGTGAAAGATGAAACTGAGAATTTGAGGGTTTGAGAAATGGAGAAAAGTTTTTTTTGTGCGCTTGGACGATGGTTTTGGTGATATATTGGTGAAAGGGTGCGAGAACGATATCGTTTGAGATGTCGACACGTGTATATGTTTTGAACGGTTGGATTATTTGAGGATTGTCGGGAGAGTGACGCCATGGATGATGTAATAATAAGAATGACTAGTTTCTTTTATAATGAGAATGATTATGGTTTGGGTAGTGGACATCATAGTTTGGCCGTGCCCCTACTTGCCTGCCTTTTTCTTTGCTACCAACCAATTAACAATTCTTTTTTTCTTTAATTGATGGAACCAACCAATTAACCATCGATACCTATAATTCATTACATTGTGGTACTGCTTTCTCCCATCACAATTATAAGAAAAAAATATTCTTATTCAATTGTTCTCATATAAGATTTCAGCAAATTTAATTATTTTTTATTATAAAAGAAATTTTAATATTTGAACTATCTACTATATAGAAAAGAAAGAGCTTCTTCTTTAAATCATAACTATTGAATGATAATGGTTGCATTCTAACTATTTTTTCCAATTTGATATTGATTATGTGATATTTGAATTATTTTCTTCCATCACATCGTTTACTTTCTTCTCTTTACCAACAACGATATGTAAATGTATTTGATTATGATATTTGGATTACTTTCTTCTCCGAATATCATCATTTCTCTATCTTCCTCTTTTACACGTTCTCTCTCTTCCTCTTTTTTTTCTTCTATTATCTTCCTCTATCTTTCTCTTCCTTTTTCCTTCTTCTCTCCTCTGCTTCCTCTATCTTCTTCTTCTTCTTTCTTATTGTATTTATAAATTTTTGTATTATTTATTTATTTTTTGTCTATTAGAATTATTTCGAACTCATTATTGTTAATTATTTATAGTGGATTTGAAGAAAATGATTGTTTGAAAGCAAAGTTTCATTACCGTGAGTCGAATGTTAACATTGTTATTTACAAGTTCAATGACACTGTCTATGTCAAGGTATTTTTAATTTACTTCGTGTTTAAGATTTATGGTTTTAGGGTTTATATGTTAGGTTTGTTGTGGGTTTTCTTACTATGTTGATTTTTGTAATTTTCTCAACTGTGTTGTTTTAGGCAGAAAATGATAAACTCGATACATTGCAAGGATTGTCGAGTTCTTTAAAACCCAAGAGGAAGATCTATATTTGATGGCACAATGGTTTTACAAAGGCGAAAATACTATAAGATTGATTTTTTAAACTACTTTTTTGTGTGTGTGATTGTTTACAATTTTTAGGCATATTGTTTGATTATGGAGATTCAAACCCCCATTTCGAGCTTATTGACAAAAAGAGAGTTTTTATATAGTTGTTGTTGATATTTTTTTTATTGGTGCAGGTTTCGAGAAATTATATATGTTTGATCTTAACTGTTTCATCAACAAGTAATTGAGAAGCTACATGAGTTAGTTACATTGTAACGACATCGTTTTGGGTTTTGCTTTGTTTGTGTTTCCAGATTTTTATATGCTTTTCTGGCTTCCTTGTAATTGCATATATAGACTCCCTTCCCTTCACAATATTTTTTGTTTGTTTGTATATATGTGACTCGAGTATTTTCTTCTGTTCATGACCTCTTTTAATGGTACAAAATAATCTCTACGAACTTTGGTCTCTTCTCAACTTCTATCAGATAGTTTTAGTTTTGTTGAAACATTTGATGAATGGTTTCAAATCTCTGATGAAAATGACCAACATGAGGTTGTTCAAGAATTACACAAGATAACTTATAGAACTATATTTTATCGTCGTCTTTTCTGTTAATATGATGAATAATTGACATTTTATTTCCTTTGTATATCAAGGTTCTCTGGCTATTTCTCCTTTTAAGGTTGAAGTCAGATGTTGAGAAAGGGTTGCCACCCAAAAAAGAAACCATTCTTAAAGTAGGCATGTCACAACTGATTAAACCCTTCTCCGTTACTAAATCTTTATGTTTCTTTTTTTAGGTTTATTTTGTGTTGCTATCAATAGACCCAAATCCTTACTCAGTAGCTTGCCTTATCCGAAGCAGATAAAGCTATTGAACTCGATCCTACAAATGCGATTTGCATTCTTCTCAAAGCTATAAATGCCTTTGTCTTGCCATTTCGTATAAATAATTTTCAATGTGGTTCTTTTAGGAACAGTGGAACCAGGATTCGAGCGGGTAAGACAAAGTTTTGGTTTCTTCAAATTGTGTTGTTGCTGAAACCTGAGCTTCTCAAGGAAACCATAAAATCTGAAGTGTTGATTTAAGCTATGGAATCATAAGGCTTAGTACCAAACAAGATTTGTTTCCCTATTGTATTGTTGGAATCTATGTTGTAAATTGATCTCCCAATATTCACAAGGAAACCATAGAAGCTGAAGTGTTGATTCAAGCTATGGAATAATAAGGGTTAGTACCAAATAAGGTTTGTTGTTCTATTGTATTGTTGGATTATTAAATTACTTGAAAAATTAAATATTTGCAGTTTATTTAGTGTTATTCTTCAAGCGGTGTTTTAGGGTTCTTTCCTCTTCTTTTTTTGTTAAATCTTTATGTTTCTTTTTAAGTTTACTTTGTGTTGCTAACAATAGAACTAGATCCTTATCAGTAGGATCCCCTAACCGAACCCGATAAATCCATCGCACTCGATCCTATAGATGCAATTTACTTTCTTCTCAAAGCTACATATGCCTTTGTCTTGCCATTTCATATCTGAATTTTTGATGTTGTTCTTTCAGGAACAATGGAATCGGGATTTAAGCGGGTAAGCCAATGATTTCCTCTTCAGACCAACCTAGCGCATGTATCTGTTGAATTTCACCGGTGTGACAACTATAGGAGATACATACAAGAACAACTAGATCCTTCAAAACTTATGGTTATTCTATTGCAGTTCGAAAAATTAAGGATCAAGGTTGTCCATCCTTAGTTAGTTCTGCACATTTACACATTACATATCTCATTAATCTCTTTTTAAATTTATAGGGAAATATCCTCTTGCTGTAACCAACACCCTTGTTAATGCAGGTATATTACCTTCATCCTAAATCATGAATTTCCTATTTCATTTTCTATTATTATATCTTTTTATACCAATATTTTTTATTCTGTTATTATCAGACTATGGAGAGTGTTTCCTCTACGCTTTCTTTTACAATATAACATAACCACAAATGTCAAAGGGGTTGCTCCAAATGCTTCCACATATTTAACATAACAATAATCGTTGGGTGACAGAGGCCTCTCATCAACTTAAGTCAAGAAGGTCACCAAAATGGGAAATAGTAATTTCACGACTACTTCTTTTGTGCAGCTTAATTGCATTATTTATCGGATCCTTGACAGAAGTTTATCGGCAACTTTAGGTTCCCTTTCAATTAACTATGATGTCATTTGTAAAGTTATTTTGTATCACCTATGATTATGTCATTGAAATAATGGTTCCATGTAAATAATACTACTTATGAAATCAACTTATTTTGGATATAATTATTCTATTCTTCACCCAATATTTAAATTGAGTAACACTTCTATTGTGCACCTGACTATGGTTATTCATTAGTTAAGTTATTATCTTTCTAAATTCAAATAACTCTTGCCATGAACTACAGTTCAAGTGCGGTATGTACACTACAACATACAATCTCTAAGGACAACCATATATTTAATGATACAAGTGATTTTATATTTCTATCTTTATCGTCTGTCCTTCTGAAGTTTTTGTTTCCATAAATCATTCACACCTAAACAAACCAATCAACTAAAATCTATTGTATTATATTCCCATTATATAAAAACCAAAATTTGTTTATTATTATATATCTCTGAGTACACTATTAAAATTTACAACTGCGGCAGGAAAGTATTGTGACATGTCACATATTTTGCAATCATATCTGCCATCAAGAAAGCATGCCACATTTTTATAACTTTATTTATTGTACTACTCCTCATTTCATTTAAATACTTTTATATACAACTTTGTTCCAATGTGGTTGCTTTGTTGTTATCCTTTATTGTTGGGAATATACTAAAAAAGACATATAGCAGTACCTTTTTCTGCCATTTAGCGACGCTTAAAAGCACTGCCTAAAGTGGCGTTGCTGTAGGTAAAGACAGTGCTTTTTTTAAAGGCAAAAGCGCTGGTAAATGTCCATTTTAGACAACGCTTTCTTATAAAATCACTCTCTAATGTCACCTTTAGGAAGCACTTTTAAATGAAAAGCGCTCTCTAATCCTCCATTTAGCAGCGCTTTTTAAAAGCGTTGTCTAATGTATTGTGTCTGCAGACCTTTAGCAGCGCTTTTAAATGAAAAACACTCTCTTCCCCCCCCCCCCCTTTAGCAACGCTTTTTAAAAGCGCTTTCTAATCTATTATTTCTGCATACCTTTAGCAGCGCTTTTCAATGAAAAGCGCTCTCTTTTCCCCCTCCCTTTAGCAGCACTTTTTAAAAGTGCTTTCTTATCTATTGGTTTTAGCAGCGCTTTTATATGAAAGAGGCTCTCTTCCCCTCCCCCCCTTTAGTAGCGCTTTACAAAAGCGCTTTCTAATGTATATTTTGTTGAGGTTTTAGCAGCGCTTTTCTGTAAAAGCACTGCCTTAGGTCCACTTTTGGCAGCGCTTTTCTTAGAAAGCGCTTTCTTTTATTCACGTTAATGGATGTTTTCAAAAGCACTTTTTATGAAAGTGTTTTTTTGTTAGAAGCGCTGTCTATTGTGCATTTTTTTAAGAAGTGTTTTTTGTTAAAATCGTTGGCATAAGTCTTATTTTTTACTTGTAAAATAGAACCACATACCATATAGGCCTTATATACCTTTATAATTCAACACATAAACCTGCTTATAACCATTATAATTCAACATATAAAGCTGCTTATAACCAATAATTCAACACAACTTTATTTCAA